CCTAGAGGACGCAGTTCGAAGTTCCCATGAAAGGGAACGTCTCGGGTTACTTATGTAACCATGGTTCCCTGAGTAAGGAACGAGACACTGCGTCCTCTAGGTTTCTTGCCATGCTGCGGACGCAAGCTTCAGACGAAGAAGTGAACGATGTGTAGCTCCCGGCACCGATTTATACTGTAGTCGCACCGGTAGTGACGTCATGGCTGTCGCCGGCCAACGAGGTGGTGTTTTTTCAATGTATGCTTCAGATACGAGTCACGACGAGGCGTTCCCCATAGCGACCCCTAGAGGACGCAGTTCGAAGTTCCCATGAAAGGGAACTAAGTAATGCACTCAACCGCCATGGCCAATATACACGCTCACCATGCAAGACTCCATTGCTGAAGAAAAAGCATGTTGAAGCTTGTTTAAAGTTTGCTACACAACATTTAGACACGCCTGTGAAATACTGGGAGAATATAGTCTGGTCAGATGAGACCAAAATTAAACTCTTTGGATGCTATAATACACACCATGTTTGGAGGTAAAATGGCACTGCACATCACCCCAAAAACATCATGGTGTGTCACTGGTAAAATTAATATAATTGAAGGAAGGACGAATGGAAAAATGTACAGAGACATTCTTGATAAAAATCTACTGCCATCTACCAGGATGATGAAGATGAAACAAGGGTGGACATTTCAGCAAGACATTGATCCCAAACACAGCCAAGGAAACTCTCAATTGGTTTCAGAGAAAGAAAGTAAAGCTGCTAGAATGACCCAGCCAATCACCTGACTTGAATCCAATAGAAACTCTATAGAAAGAACTACAGATCAGAGTTCATAGAAGAGGCCCACAGAACCTTCAAGATTTGAAGACTGTGTGGAAGAATGGGCCAAAATCACACCCGAGCAATGTATGCGACTCATTTCTCCATACAGGAGGCATCTAGAAGCTGTCATTACCAACAAAGGCTTTTGTACGAAGTATTTAATAAATTTCAGTAAGCGTGTTCAATACTTTTTCCCTGGGTCATTCCATTTTATTACACATAACTTAATTTCTCAACTTATTTGTTTTGTTTTCTTTGTATGTATGGATTACTTGGTTTGTTACCAACATCTGGTGAAAATTTCATGTCAACAGCACCTAGAAATATATTTACTGAGGAAAATGGTGTCGTGTTCAATACTTATTTTACCCGCTGTATATATATTGACAGATTTGTATTAGAGAACTAAAAATAATAGTTAGGGGCCCTGGTTGCCCAGGGTGCACTGAATATGCTAGGCCCTACAGCTAAGCTCACACTGTATACACCAAGGGGGCCAGTGACCTTCCTGGTCAGTTCACACTATGCATTCTGAGGGGCCCAAAAGCCCTAGTGGTTTGCTTGCACTTTATACTCTCAGAGGACCTCGAGCCATATTGGTCAGCTCACATTGTATGTTCTTAGGGTTCTAGGAGCCCTAGTGGTTAGCTCATATTGTATATGTTGGAGGGCTCTGGAGCTCTAGTGATCAGTTCACTCTGTATAGGCAGAAGGGCCCATTCAGTCAGCGCACTCTGTATGTCCTGACAGGCCCAGAAACCCTAGTGATCAGCTCGAAGTGTATATGCAGAAGGGTCCAGGGCCCCAGGAGCCAGAGTAGTCAACTCACGCTTTATACATTGAGGGGCCCAGGGCCCCTGGGACTCTACTGATCAAGTCACACTGTAAAGACAAAAGTGCCCAGGTGCACTTAAGCCCTATTTGGTCAGCACCAACTCCATATTCTGAGGGGTCCTAGAGGTCTGCTAAAATTGTATATCTTGAACTGTATATGCAGAAGGGTCCAGGGCACCAGGAGACATAGTTGTCAGCTTTTATTGTATACTTGAGGGGCCCAGTGGCCCTGGAGCCCTAGTAACCAGCTCACACTCTATACACTCAGGGGCCCTGGAGCTCTAGTGTTCAGCTCCTGCTGGATACACTGAGGGGCTCTGGAGCCCTATTGCTCAGCTCACATTGTATATTCAGAGGGTTCCAGGAGCCCTAGTGGTTAGCTCATATTGTATATGCTGAGGTGCTCTAGTGTTCAGTTCACCGTGTATAGGCAGAAGGGCTCAGCGGCTCTAGAGCCCTGTAATTTAGCACGCACTATATATTCTGAGAGGCCCAGAAGCCTTAGTGGTCAGCTCGGAAGTGTAAATGCAGAAGGGTCCAGTGCCCCAGGTGCCATAATAGTCAGCTTACATTGCATATGCTGAGCGGCCCAGTGGCCCTGGAGCCCTAGTGGCCAGCTCATGCTATATACACTGAAGGTCCCAGGGGCCCTGGAACTCTAGAGACATGCTCATGCTATATTGTCAGAGGGGCCCAGGGACCCTATTGGTCAGCTCACACTGTATTTTCTGAGGGACTCAGGAGGTCTAGTAGTCTGTTTAAACTGTATACGCAAACAGGCCCCAGACCCTGGGAGCTATAGTGGTCAGCTCACACTGTATATATTGAGGGTTCCAGGAGCCCTAGTGATAAGCTAATATTGTATGCACTTAGGGATCCAGGGACCCTGGAGCACTACTGATCAGCTCATGCTGTATACTCTAGGTGCGCTTGAACCCTAGTAGCCAGTTCAACCTGTATACACTGTTGGGCCCAGGGAACCTGGAGTTATAGTTGTTAACTCACTCTGTAAAAGCAGAAGCCTTATTGGTCAGCTCGCATTATATATTTTGAGGTGCCTGAGGGGGCCCTAATAGTTAGCCTGCAGTTAATGAGCCAAGGGCCCTGGTTCAGTTTTCTTTGGCAGTCTCAGGCTATGCACCCTGAGGCTTTGGAGGCCTCTGGTTAGTCCCTACCCATAGTTCAGCCCTGTCATTTGTTTGCTGAAACACACAAATCGCTTCTGTGAGATTCTCAGTAAGTTAGATAGTTACATACTAATTTGCTGTATTTTATCTCATGTGAAGCACTTTGTTATCCTCTTGCACGTTAAGCAATTAACAGTATCACTATTAATATTTTACATGGTGATCTTTGAGTGAGCAAATGTTTCAAAGCTAATTTGACAGTGTATTACTTCCCAGCCAGTTAATGCATGACTGATAGAGCCTTTTGCACATATTGAGGCAGAAGTCATCACTCTGACCACATCCAAAGCAGTGCATTACCGTAAATCACTTCAAACTTGTTGATGGCTTCTTGCATGTTCTCTTGGCGAATTAAATACATGGATTCAACCATTTTTTTTTATCCCGCTTGGCAATCATTCAGCAAACCCCATGTTCAAGGGTTATTCCGTACTGGCACATAATGGTTTTGTTTTTCGCAAACAGCCACTCTTATTTATAACATCTCTTCAGCCCACTGGTGACCAGGTTTGTTTTGCTGTCTATCAATGTGGTTCTGGCAACTCTCTCCACTTTTCCCTATTCTCTGAGCATCTGTCAGATGGCCCTTTATACTGGCATCTTTTATTTCCTCAAGCCCATCAGCGTGTTTTATTCATTAGCCATCCTCACCCACACCGAAATAAATCAGATTTTAAATACGTCTTTGCCAAGCTTTCCTTAATACATTGTGTAAAAAAAAAAGCACCAACTCTTTCTGGGCATGATGCAATCATATTTGCAATTATAGAGTGTCTTCAAACTGAAAAGACATAAAATATTAAAGCAAAGTGACAGGAGAAAAAAAAAGGAGAAAATGAGAATGATGTTAATCAAACTCCTCAGGATTTAAAAAAAGCAGTGAGGAAATGTAAATGATCTGCTAGTTTGATAAAAAAACAGTGTGGTATAACTCCTTGTGCTTTCGAACGCCCCATGACCCAAGTCCTCTCCGTAAGCCCTGAAGACACAGGAGTGAGCTGAAAAATCATTTGTAGTCTGATTTCACACCACAATGCATGCCCCGACCGGCACTATGTGTGGTGCTGTCCCACCCGTGGGTGGATGGATGGGTTTGTCAGCACATTCTTACGAGCACAGGCCCACCCGCAGGCTCCATACTCACCCGGCGTCACCCTCGTAATTATCTCCATCACAGTTGGGTTACCAACCCTTCTGTCCCTAGGCCAATGCTGCACATCGGATCTCACAGACTCATAACTTATGAAACTCGCAGCGGGAGGTGGGACTTTAGAAGAGCAAAATAAAATGAGCAAATTGGTTCTGTCAGGTTCATTTGAATCCTGCTAAGAGTGCTCAGCAGCAGAATTTAAGTTGACCACTGCTTGAAAGATTTAGGTTTAAACATGCCTGCAACTAGTAGGTTTGATTTGAAATCTTGATTTATACCACTCAAGAATTGAATTCTTCATTCTGATTGGTTCTCAAACATTCCATGCTAATTTTCTACTGCGCAACTAAGTAATTCCAGGTTTAACTGCATTAGAGTGCCATATTACTTGTCCATGTTGATTCCAAATTGTTACAATATTTCAGAGTGTTGCAGTTTTGCACAGATTTTTGCCTCAATTTATAGTCTGGATAAGTCGACTGTAGTTGCCTAAAGTCAGAGCCAGTCTGAGTTTACAGATTTCACAGAAAATCATGATTGATTTTTATTTTTAATTTTTTCACGTTTGGTATTTTGAGCCAATTTTAGAACACATATTGTTTTCTTTTGTGACTTATCTCCTAAAAAAATACTTTTAGGTGCATATTTCTAAATCTAGTTTGTTGTGTTCAGAGCGACTTGAAAGGCTGGTGGTGTGTGAACTTCAGCTGTTTAATGTTTGATGCTCAGTTCTTCTCTGTAACAATTTATGATTCTGATTTCTAGTTTTCTAAAATCTGTTCTGCTTAAAAGTTTAGCCTTAACAGATCAGAAAACACAAAACTACTATTGCATTATTGAAAAGTATTGCTTTGCATCAAATAATTCAGCAGTCATTGTCAATTATTTATATAATGACCACATTCTCTCTTTTTGAAAACCTTTTTTTGTCATTTTGATTGAAAATATTGATATCGTTGGGGCAGAAAGGGTATATTTGTTTTCTGTTTTAAGCTTTTTTGTTATCTTTCAGGGTACAGCGGCCAGTCGGGTTCACTATAAAGTGGATCTGGAGCAGTTTCCTTACAGCACTAGTATCTTCGATGTGGAGGAAAACTCTGGCAATGTTCTCACCAGGGTTAATCTGAATGAGGAGCCCAACACTAAATTCAGTGTAAGTACACAACAATCTTTTCTTAATACAGGGCTTGTCAGCTAGAAATCCGCAGGCCATAACTAGCCGTCAATCAATTTTATGCATCTCACAGATTGATTTAGATGCAATCGCTGCACCGCCTGATACATTACTTTGCTTTCTGAGCAAAACTCAATGGTCAGTTCAGAAACACTCATTCTTAATAATGGTCCGAATTCAGGCAGGTTTTAAGCTTTTCTGGCCATAGGTTCCCCACACATGATTTCTCAACACATTGATCTTGTCATTTTAGATGTTTACACACACATGAATGAAAGTAGATGAGACACAACAGTTAAAGCAGCAGCACATCAGTCCATGTGCACAATCACATTCATTGACATTGAACATAATCTCAAGCGTGTTCTGCTCCTATCATCTGTCATTTGTATAGCTTAATTTGTGCCCAAGTTCAAAATGCTTTTGAGATCTGAAAATACTGTCTTTTCTCATTGAATTGGAGGTTTACAAGGAAAGCATACGATGAGACAGCTTTCTTTTTTCAATTTTAAATGTTGATTATATAAAATTATTTGTATTAATGTCTTGCTTTATACACTCATCTTTTTCTTATATGGGATGATATTGTCATACAAAAAGAAAACCGATTTGAAATCCTTTATTAATATAATTTGACTTGTTTTCCAGTAAAAATATTAACATCTTTATAATAAGAAAACAAACACGTGATATTTTTTTCTTGCCATTTTATTGGTAAACACAATGGAAGTACGACAGGAAATCGATGGAAGAGAGAAAGAGGGGACCAGGATGAGAGAACATGACAGCTCAATAAATTGGTCCATTTGCTTTCCCCACAAGGCCACTGTGCAGACATAAGACTTGTGTCATGTATATGACATGTAAATGTCTCCGGCAGCATATTGAATGAAGTTTAATTTTCTAGCCCCATTCACAAACAGATTTTTTTTTCCCCCTTTCTTAAAGCATAAACAAGAAAAACGCTTTGCAATCAGAGAAAGAACAATAATCTTAAGTCTTTGCATGCAAGTTTTTAAACTGCAGTATATACATGTACGTGTGTGTGTGTGTGTGTGTGTGTGTGTGCGTGTGTGCATGTTTATGTGGTTTATGAGGACACAAATTTGTATAATAACATGGGCATGACATAGGTATTACAAAGAGAAGGTGATTTATGAGGACATTTTCAGTGTCCCCGTAATTCAAAAGGCTTATAAATAATTCAGAAGTTTTAGTTTTTTTGAAAATCTAAAAATGCAGAAAGTTTCCTGTAAGGGGTAGGTTTAGGGGTAGGGCTGGTGTAGGGCAATAGAAAATATGGTTTGTACAGTATAAAAACCATTACGCCTATGGAGAGTCCCCATGAACCATAAAAACAAACCTGTATGTGTGTGTGTATACATCCATACATAAGTCTTAACTGACTTTCAAAACTCAGATGGACAGTGCGGACAGAACTTGACCCAGTGGTGATTCTAAGTCCTCCTTATTTTATCTTAAAATTGATTTTCTCATGTTCCCAAACAGTTGGCAGTTATTGCCTATGATGATGGGGAGCCGGTGAAGTTCAATAAGACTCTGGTGGAGATCACTGTCCTGCAGCCGTCCATCATTCCTGTGTTCACGCAGGAGGAGTACAGGTGAGCAAACACCTGAAACGTGATTGCCCTCTGCCATATCTGCTGTCCTTTCATGCTGTGCTATATTGTTCTGCACCGGCGGTATACTTCCAGAACATCATCAACAGCGTGAGTACTATCGCCTGGATACCGTGCTTGAAATCAGAAAGTTAGATACTGGCGAACAGCAATGCAAAATATCTGTTTATTTGTGAATTTTATAATATGTGTGTTTTTACGGTCCTGTGAGGCATGCCATTTCCTCCATTTTTATGTGGAATGACCAGAAAGCTCACTTGACCTGACTTGAAATCAAACAGATGTAGTTTTATGCTGCATTTAGGGATTCATGTCTTGAGCCATGAATTAACGTTTTAGAGGTGGAGCAAGTTCAAAATTGATCCTGTTTTGATTGAGGATTATGAAAAAAAACTATCTTTTTTCATATTGGATTAACATTCACCTGTGGATCATGCACAATAAGAACATGAACATGTATTTTGAAAGTAAATAGGGTCAATATAATCGAAGCACCACGAAAATAACCAGTTTCAGGTAGTTTTATTCAATGTAAAACCGTCAGCGTCGATTTAATCATAGACTTTATGAATATGTATAATAGCTGCAAGGTAAAGTGTGTTTTATACACAGTTGTTTCCTCAGAGGACATTCGCACTCCATTCGAATGCATTACTGCTGCTTTCTTAAATTACATATTTAATATATTTGACACAAAAATCAGTTCAATTCGCATGGCTTCCGAGGCAAATAACACTTGCACCGGTTTGCCCAAATTGATTTAAAGATAAAAACATTGAAGCTTATTTTACTGAATACAGTCTATTCAACTGTACGGTACATTCAGAAGAAGACAGCACCGCCTGTGTGAATGGATCTGTGATCAAAAATGAGTTAATTAACAGCTTTATAGTGAAGGGGCAATAACACGCATGCTTTGATGAGTTACAAGGACCAATGGGGTTAAAAATGGTCTTGCTAACATCCTTATCAATTGATTATTCAGAGCTACAGAGACAGAAACATAGAGATTAAAAGACTTGGCCGAAGGTTTGAATTAATGCTGTGTCCTGTAGAGCTGCAGGAAAGTCATAGTTGATAGTAGCTCTGCAGCACAGTGAGAATAACAATAGCTTTCAGACGCAGCCCTCCGCGGGCTCTTGATTGCTGCCTGCGGACACATTAGTCAGGTATCTGTTGCCCCTGTCTGGTGAACACAAGGCTGATTAGAGCTCCTTTGATCTGCCGGGCTCTGGGGGATCATCTATGGGTGGACTTGAGATAACTCTGTGTCAATAAATACCTGCTCACAATACAGTCATTCAGTAGCATGAGACATTGCTTGCTAAAGTATGCATCACTAATTTCTATTGCTAATACATTTAGCAAATCTATTGCTAAATGTATTTATTTATTTAGAATTAAGCAAAGGATTTAAATGGATTTTGGGGAATTAAATGGATTTACAATAATACAATGCAAAATGACAATAGTAAACACTCAATTTTCAGTTAAAGGCAGTTCATCATTGAATTCAGTGATGTCGTCATCCAGCTCAGTTCAGTATAAATAGTATCTGTGATATCAAGTCGACGATACCGCTGGAAAATATGTGTCCCCAACTAAGCAAGCCAGAGGCGACAGCGGCAAGGAACCAAAACTCCATCAGTGACAGAATGGAGGAAAAAACCTTGGGAGAAACCAGGCTCAGTCGGGGGGCCAGTTCTCCTCTGGCCAGACGAACCAGCAGGTTGTTCCAGCAAAGTCCGATTTTGCGGAGGACTCATCTGGTTCCTGTGGCCTTGTCCCGATGGCCGTCTAGGAGACATGGTCTTCACTGAGGATCTGTCTCTGGGGCTTGTCTAGTTGTCCTGATATCCGCTGACATTCAGGGCTGTAGAAGTCCTCTCTAGGTGCTGATCCACCATCTGGGCTGGATACGTACTGGATCCGGGTGACTGCAGTGACCATCTGATCTTGATACAGACTGGATCTGGTGGCTACGGTGACCTTGGAATTAGAAAGAAACAGACTAATATTAGCGTAGATGCCATTCTTCTAAAGATGTAGCAAGTACATCAGGTGTTCTGGGAAGTGTTCCCGGTTCAGGTTGCCCTAATTAATGCAGCCTAACAATCCTTTAACTTTTTTGAATATTAGAAATGAGTGGGTTATGTGTAAGCCAGGTTAAAGGGATGGGTCTTTAATCTATATTTAAACTGACAGAGTGAGTCTACCAATTTATGCATTTTGGTAGACACTTTCATCCAAAGCAACTTGCATTGAATCGAAGATATAATCCATGTATGTATTCCCTAGAAATTGAACCTATGACTTTGGCATTGTTAGCAACATGCTCTACTGTTTCGACTACTGGAAAAGGCTACAGTTTTAGAGGGTTTTTGTGTCATTGTGGAAAAATGACTTGCCAGCCAATTGCACAATAGCTTGTCCAGCTTAGCCAGGCTATGAGACCAGGAAAAAACATTTTGCACAGGCAAAAAGCACAATTTCTTTAGAAAGTAAAGAAAGTACAAAAGTGTAGTCTGTTAGTTTCACTGTAATGTTTTGTTTTAATGTTTTCTTTTTTTGCATTGCATTCAGTTATAATGAGGGTGGCACTCCAAAACGTTTCCCTTCACTGCATGAAAAACAAAGCATATTTGATAATGGCTAAATAAGAGTGAAATCATGGCATAAAAAGGTATTTAGACAAAAACAAAGCACTGAATTTTTTGTGGCATGCTTGTTAGCAGCCATAGAGTTTTTCTGATGTTTTCCTACTAAAATGTGTGCATTTTAGCACGGCTTATCTCATAAAACTGCTTAATGAATCTCTGTGACTCTACTAAATCACCAGCTGAGCACCCTGCCACTTCTGTTTTTCATTTTGATGATCACACCCATCACCGTCTCATTTTTACGCTTTCCTTTGTAAATGTTTTTGTATCAATTCTGTTTCCACTTCAGTTTTGCAGTAGGAAAAAACGCTCAGAATCAACTTTAAACTGCACTTAATATGCTTATGAAACAAATGTTGTTGCGACCCCCTGGTGTGAATTACAGAATATCAGAGATATCTGATTTATTAAACTTTTTTTATTCACTTTCTTAATGCACGTTTCAGTTTTTTCTTTATTTTTTAAATAAACTAATACAAAATTAAATGAAATGAGATGCATTTAATCAACCTTTTTAACTTGATATTAAATAATTTAGAGAATAAAGTATAACTGTTGCACAAAAATATGAAATAGAACTGTTTTTACATTGATAAAAAAATCACTAAATTAGCATATTACAATGATTTCTGAAGGACCATGTGCCTCTGAAGATAGGAGTAATGATGCTGAAAATGCAGCTTTGTCATCATAGAAATAATTATAAATAAATGTATATTCAAATCGAAAACAGTTATTTCAAATTGTAATAATATTTCATAATATATCTGTTTTTACTGTATTTTAATAAAATAAATGCAGTCTTGGTGAGCATAAGAAACATCTTTCAAAAATATGAAAAAATCTTACCATCCACAAACGTTACCTACTCTGCCTCTGAAACCTTCTCTGCCTCAGGAAACAATTATTTTCTTTAAGAATCACTTTGCCCACCAACCATCTTGCTCCATTCTGAATGATGATCCAATCGTTTCATTTCATCCAATCAAGTCCACTTGTTTATTATTGATTGTCCTGTTTCATTCTTGTATCAATTCTGTTTCCACTTCAGTTTTGCAGTAGGAAAAAACGCTCAGAATCAACTTTAAACTGCACTGAATATGCTTATGAAACAAATGTTGTTGCGACCCCCTGGTGTGAATTACAGAATATCAGAGATATCTGATTTATTAAACTTTTTTTATTCACTTTCTTAATGCACGTTTCTGTTTTTTCTTTATTTTTTAAATAAACTAATACAAAATTAAATGAAATGAGATGCATTTAATCAACCTTTTTAACTTGATATTAAATAATTTTGAGAATAAAGTATAACTGTTGCACAAAAATATGAAATAGAACTGTTTTTACATTGATAAAAAAATCACTAAATTAGCATATTACAATGATTTCTGAAGGACCATGTGACTCTGAAGATAGGAGTAATGATGCTGAAAATGCAGCTTTGTCATCATAGAAATAATTAGAAATAAATGTATATTCAAATCGAAAACAGTTATTTCAAATTGTAATAATATTTCATAATATATCTGTTTTTACTGTATTTTAATAAAATAAATGCAGTCTTGGTGAGCATAAGAAACATCTTTCAAAAATATGAAAAATTCTTACCATCCACAAACGTTACCTACTCTGCCTCTGAAACCTTCTCTGCCTCAGGAAACAATTATTTTCTTTAAGAATCACTTTGCCCACCAACCATCTTGCTCCATTCTGAATGATGATCCAATCGTTTCATTTCATCCAATCAAGTCCACTTCTCTATAAAGCTAACTGTATCATATTTGATGCGTACATTTCTAAGGCCTCTAAATTATTGACGAGACCAAAACTTTATCTGTCATCTGATTGATATAGTTTATGATTTTAGCAAGTAAAAAGCCTTTTAGTGTCTCAATCTTAATTATAAAAATGTATTTTTACTGTACAATTTACTAAATAACTTTTATATTGTTAGCAATATTTCAAGATGGACACTTGCTGGACTGAAGCAACTCAGGTTAACTTGATTATCTATACATCATTTTGTAGAAAAATAATGTGAGAATCAATTATGCGCTTATTTGCTCATCTCTCAATCATAATTGCATTGCATTACATTACATGTTTCGCTCCCACAATAAAAGTTACAGAACTTTAATCATAAAATTAAGCTTTTAAATATCATCTTAAAAATACATTATCGGGAGATGAAAACTAAAAGTGACAACTGATATTTATATGCATTTTATAAAAGTAGTATATATATTTTTTTATATAAAAGATTTCCAGAATTTCATCTTCTTTATGGCCATATAAATATAAAAAACTGCACCATATTTT